CCACCTCTCTCATTCGGAATTAAATTTAGATCCGATCGGACCGAATCGGATTAGAATCTTCAGTCTGACATGTTTACATGAAACATTTTTGATCTGATCAGGCCTTAAATCCGATTAGTTGTGTCCATGTAAACGTAGCTAGTGTTGTCTCAGCAACCACTATGTTTTACATCATGTGGCAACTTTCAGCCAATCATGTAGCGTAAAGTCACTGGAAGATCTGACCAACCGAGCAGGTCGGGTACCTACTCAGCTTCCTCCCACAGTCCAAACTGTTAGGTTTATTGGCTTCTCTAAATGTGCCCGACCGTAGACAGCTGGAAGTAGGTACCAGCACCCCTCGTGACCCCCGCCTGGGATAAGCAAGACGGAAAATGGATGGATCTGTAAAACCTGAAAAGACTCTAAATCTAATTCCATAAACATTCTTACTTTTCCAGAGACCAAACCACGAATAAAGAAAGAAAAACATTTCCTCCGCACTCTGAGTCAACTGTTGTCAACACAACCATATTTTCCCTGTGAGAAACAATGATTATAACTGTTGACAGAACCGATGCAGGCAGCAGGAGGCAGCTGGCTTCTGCAAGGTTCTGGTCAGAAATCAGAGAGGAGTGCGTGTTGGGAGAGTGACTTATTGAGTCTGCTGCTGCTGACAGACTGATTACACTCAGAAGTGAACAGGGAGCAGTAATGCACCAGTATAGGGAGGGAGGAAGGGATGGGTGCGCCAGACCATTCCTCATCCGAACCACCACAGCCCCTGCTGCCTCCAACACCCCACCACCCCCACCCCCCGGCTTCTCTCTGCCTCTTGCATCAGGGATGAGGGCTATCCCAGCTTCCCTTCCTCCCAGCATCGTGATCTCCCCTCTGCAGTATCTCCAGCTACCAGGGTTTGGCCCTGACATAAAACATCGACAACAACTATATTTATACTATTTAATATTTTTGTGCATACCTTATCATTTCCTAACAAAAAAAAATTACAAGAGAGGCCTACCTGTAGACATGGTGAACATCTAAATGTTTTTAAAGGAGGTGTTAGTTTGAGCACACATTAGATCAGGCATCCCCACAGTCGGTCCTGGAGGGCCGCTGTCATGCAGGTTTTAGAGGTTTACTTGCTCCAGCAAAGCTGATTTTAATTAAAAGCTGATTAATAGGCTTTTGCTCAACTGCAATCATCATAATAAGCTGTGCTAAAGCATGGAAACCTCTTAAAACTGGGGATGCCTGCCTTAAAGGATATAACATTTGTAAATTTACCTGTTTACTAAGATTATTGTGATATCCACCAGCATATCTCCAATGTGCACAGAAGTGAGGCATAAACATTAGTATTTCAGCAATATTCTGATCAATAAACCTTGGAAATATTAATCTATAACACTTTCTACACAGAGTTCCACTTTAAGGGCACAATTAACGAGGTGTTTTAGCTCTCCAATAGAAATACCATGGCTATAATCTGTGTTTTGTAGATATTTTTGGTAATTAATGGTGCTTTTTGAAACATCAATGCACTCCTTTCAAACAGAATGCAGAAAAACAAGCAAAGCATCACATGAGGAAAGGCAGCTGGAGGAGGAGTAGGAGCTTCTGATATCCTGGTTGATGTACGTGCCGCTATTTTTGCGCATCGAAGCGCGCGGTCCCTTTCACCCCGGTAAAATATGGTTCTGATTTAAAGACCGACCCCCAGCCTCCATATGCATCCTCAGGTTTGGCAAAGCAACCGCTTTGCAGAGACTATATAAACCAAAGCGCTATTAGATCCCAGGTCTGCAAAGGTTTAACCGCTTCGTGCAGCTCACAGACCGCCGCTGCCTCTCCATCCACAGCAGCACCATGGACAGCACCTGGCTGCACCGGGAGACGCAGCACGAGCTGCCGCACGCGCGGAAGGGTTACCTGAACCGAGGCCTCTCCCGTGGCAACGTGGGTCTCTCTCGGGTCCTCCTCCGGGGGAAGGGGGGGAGGGGGTCCAGCCGGTCCGGCTCTCTCTCTCTCCGGGGAGGGGGCTGCTGGGATTCCTCACCACGCTCTCTCCGGTCCTCTGACGGAGCTTCACTCCAGCGACAAGCAGCTGAGCCGCAGCAGGAAGTTTATCAATCCGGATTTCAAAATAAGACACATTATACAGTTTACAGGCTACGACGGAGTATTAGGGCCAGGCTAGAGGTTGGTTTTTCTATTTCGAGAATAAAGTCATAAAATTACGAGAATAAAGTCATCATACAACAACCTGTCTCAGAAAGAAAGCTTGGAGCTCCGCCCAGCAGATGACGACTGA